TCTTTGTTGACCTCAGTCCGTCAGGTGTTCGTTTTTTTTTTTTTTTTTTCCTAGCTCATAAGTAAGCCTCATAATGTGCTCTGTAGTAAATGACTATTTTATGTAATTATCTTTACTTAAATGGAACCTGTTAATCATGGGATTTTGATAAATGGTATTATGTTGTATACAAAATCTAAAATTGTTGTAATCAGGACCTAGTTTGATCATCTTTTACAAGATAAACTGTTGTTTTACTCTGTACAGTTTTGAAGTATGTAGTCAAAACAGGTAAAATACTAGGGATAAAAATACTCATATTTTCCAGATTTGTATCACAAATTGTATTATGTGGTTTACTAATTGAAAAAAAAAAAACCAGTATAGATACCTATAAATGTTTTCTAAAGCTCATAGGTATTTCTGTAGAATAGTTAACAATGATATTTAAAGACATTACTTTCTCAGGAAAAAGAAATCAAGACAAAATTATGTGTGGATAGTAACTTTCTGTGCTATGACGGGCCAAAACATCTCAGTGTTTGATTAATTCATTCAATTTTGATTTTTTTTGTGTGTGTCTGTGTGTGCAGAGCCATCTGCACTTTTTTGCAGGAAGAGAAGCTTGGAAGCCTTCTGATGACTGGTCCAAGTTTGATGATTGTCTGAAAACTCGAAATGCCGGGAAAATAAACAAGTAAGATGTCAGGGAGCTGGATATCACATTGCCTGCTGCTGTCAGTTATTGCTTTTTTTCCTCCTCTTTCTTTTTGTTTGAGATTGGATGTAGCTAATCTACCAGTGAAGGTGGCTTTTTAAAATGACTCCTTAGAAGTGGATGGAATCAGTGACCTTTTATTTTGCCTTGAACAGAGTTCAAGGACAATTCTCTCAGTAGTAGCTTAGTGAAGAGTTTTGTCATCTGACGTTAATAACATAGACTGCAAGTTGCTTCCTCTGCCTCAAAAGGCATGGTTTAAAAATGACCAATGACACAAGCAGTGAGAAAGCACAATTGTCATCTTGAGTCTCACTAAGTGTAACAGACTGATACTTTAAGATGTTGTACGGAAAGAAGAAAAAAGGTTTTGATTGCGCCTTAGTACTTGCCCAGCACGGTGTAACTGGCCCCAGGTAGCTGATGGCTGGATCATCTGTTGTCAGGGCGCAGTGAGGGCCAGCAACTCCCTAGGGGACAGGGTGCTGGGAGCCAAGAGGAGGATCATGTCTTACCCTCCCATGTGCAGCACTGCCCAAGCATTTATCAGCGAAGATCTGTCACTGGCAGAGGTGCTGTGCTGCCTTAATAACACAGAAGGAAGCTGTTGGCAAGAGAATACTGAGAAGGGATCAGACTGATTAGAGACCGAACTAATTAACTTCCTGAGAGAGCAAATATCTTTCTTGGACTGTTGGGAGCAGCTACGCTGAAGGTTGCTGGGCTTAGGTATTTGCTGAGAAGGTTATGGGAGACATAACTGAATCGTTTCCAGAGAGCTCCTGTCTCGGAGGGTCAGTTGTTGTGGAAACTTTTTAGTTTGGAATCTGTCCCCTCTCTGCTGCAATGGGAAGGAAGGGTTGGGCTCTGCTTGGCATTTCTGACAGGCGATTCACATGTTTCAAGTGTCAGCTCCAGTGAAGAAAGAATTTTTTGGCACTTACTTTGCTTCTGTGTGTGTTTGTGTGTTGGTGGATAATGTGGTATTTGTGAGGCTGATGTATGGATGGCATATATAGCTTGTGTGCCACAGAGGGCGAAGAACTGAGCCTGGAAGTATAGTCTTGAGGTGATATAAAAGACTTAACTGCCACCTCTTTCCCACCAACACTTTCTCTTTACTGCCTCTGCATGGTGACACCTGCTTCAGGTGTTTTCAGAATACAGCATCAGGGCAAGGTATATTTCAAGCGCCATTGTAAATTCTGAACATGTCTACCATATTTGTTACATTGACTTTCCTGCAGGAAATATCTCAGATGCTAACTTACAGTTATTGTCAGCGTTTTGACTATCTAATGAATAGTATTCTCTAGAAAGGTTTTTATTGCTTTTTCTATCTAGATTTACAAAGCAAAAAATCATCCAGCTTCTCAAAGAATTTTAAGCTTTTTTAACTCTTAGGTAGGTGTTTAATCAGTCATCTAGTTTCCATCCTTTTAGGTTTCCTTCTATGTGTGTTATTCATGTTGTGTTTTTATTTAATGCCATTCAGTTCTTTTTTTTTTCTCTTTCTGATGATTTCAGATTACCAACCCCTAATATTTGTCTGAAATAATGTTTTATTTAAAGTATGTGAAAGAAAATATAGTAGCAGCACAATATGGGTGTAGTTATATACATCTCAATATTTTCTTTTCATATTTTCAAATACTACGGGTGCTTAATTTGCATTTGCTTATATGTTCCAGAGAAGCTGATGCTGTCCTGAAATATCTAAAGGAGCAGTGTGGTGCAAAGAAATTAGGGGTCATTGGTTTTTGCTGTGGTGGTATTGCTGTACATCACCTGATGGTGACATACCCAGAATTAAAGGCTGGTATATCTCTCTATGGTAGGTAAACACAAGGATGTAATACAAGCAGGTACATATGTATATTGTGTAGCTTAAATACTTGATCTAGCATTATTTCTTCAGATCGGTCTGTCAGCTGATGAAGAGAGACATTTTCAGTGGAGTAGGAAGGATATTATGCAAAGAAGATGGTGGTGAGGGTATTTGTTCCTAGTTTCAGAATGGGTCATAGCAGCCATGTCTTTATTTCAGGTCTGGACACACATACATGTTGTCTTTCGGTCACCTTTCCAATTTAGCTCCCTTTTCCTGTTTACTACTGCTCTGCACGCTGCAGAGCTAGAACTTCACCCGGGAGCAGAGAGCGTTATTTTTGGTCTAGCTGCTCTGTAAAGTTAGACTGTGGTTATTTTAAAACCAGCTTTCCTTTTATGCTCTGCTCAAGAAGCTGGGATAGCTAGGCTGCCCTTTGCTAACGTTCTCAGACTGTAAATTTTGGACTACTTACTAAAGCATTCACTTTCCCAGTCAGTTCAAAAGAAATCAAGCTTATATGCAGAGAAGGCATCTTTCAAGTCTTACTAATTCAGATATTCAGTCTGTATCCTAAGAAACTGGCTTAAATAGAATTTTAATCTAGGAAGATATTCTTCTAGGAGCCATGGTTACAGTAGCTTGAAAGTAAAGCTAGTATGTATGGCTACATATTGCATCAGACATGAAAATTTTTCACTGCAGAAGCAGAGTGCTGTATTTGAATCTGGATTTCACCTTAAAAGTCAGTTGAAAAGGTTTTTTTTTGTTTCTTTAATGTTTTCTAGGACTAATCAAGCATTCTGGTGATATATCCAATCTCCTGAACCCTACATGTTTCATTTTTGCTGAAAAAGATGACTTCATTCCGCTTCATCAAGTATGCTAATAACCTCCATCTTCTTTCATTTCTGCATGTTTAAATTTCCATCTTGAATTGGGAGTCAAAACTCAGACTCATAATAGTGCTTGATGGTCAAAAAATAAGCAGAAAAATGGAGGTAGACATAAAAGGGCTAATATAACCTAGCCAAAGAGTGAAAACTAGATTCTTTTTTCTTGTCTCTGTCTTTTGTAAAAGTATGGCTAGTAACACAGGTAACAAAGTTTTATCAAAATCCCATTGCTGTTTTGGAGTACTCTACTCTGGGAGCTATCCTTTGCTCTATGGCACTGTTTTCTCTTGGTCCTAGGAACTCATAAACCATATAGGATACACTAAATTGCATCCATAGGTGTCTGTTAGCAGCTTTTTGTTCAGCTGTAGTGTATTTAGCATTGTCATATATTTCAGATATAGGAAATACTTTTGTTATATCCATATCTTTGCAGATTGTTGGACCTGCCTTTATATTCTAACAAATTTTCTGGACCCTTACTACAATGGTGGTTTTTCTTATATAATTTTACCTTTTGTTTTGCCCATATGGATCTTGGTTATTAGTGTCTAGCCTGAAAAATAAATTAGGGAATTGAATTATGAATACGATGAGGAATGGTGGCATGGAATATGACTATATTAATATAGCTACTACTATGCTCTATATTACAGGTCATCCTGCTGGAGCAGAAGCTAAAAGAAAATTGTAAAGTCAATTATGAAGTTAAAATTTATCCTAGACAAACGCATAGTTTTGTACATTGCAGAAGAGAAGATATCAATCCTCAAGATAGACCTTACATTGAGGAAGAAGAAAAGAATATGATCAGCTGGCTGAAAAAATACATTTAACAGAAGAGCAAGCAACTTAATCTGCAATGCAATTATGTAATACACTGTGGAGATTTTTGATAACACATTTTAGAAAATTGAGGGGAAGGTTTGTTGAAATAGAAATTAAAGAAATAAGCAAACAGAATATTTTAGATGTTTTTGTCAGTAGATTCTAATTGATGCTTTCATATTATGTTCTTTTGAAGAAGTCTCAGATTTCACCTAGCAGTGTTATGTTTTATCATGCTGTGAAATATTCTCCAGTTCCTTGAGATTTATCTTAGTGCTTGAAATAATTTAGACTAACGGTAAATTAATCTGTTTGTGTATTATGGCAACTGTTCATCCGCATTCTACATAAATCAAAAGTCCAAAATTTAGGGACACAAATACATTGTTTGGTGAAGCTCATTTTGAGAGATTAGGCTTTTTTGACTTGTACCCTGGTCGCAGATATGTATTTAACAGGTGACATATGTGGGCATATCATATTTCAAAATTTGTGGCTAAGGTTATTCAGATGGGGTACTACTTTCTCAGATTAATTTTGGTTCTGTGAAACTCTATAGATGATTTCCTGGTCAGTACAGGAATTCAAAAGTACAATGCAATCTGCAGGCAGGGCATTTTAATGTGTGGTTTACAACCATCGTTGCTGCTTAAAGAAGAAATGTTACATGTTTTTGCATAATGTATCTTGTTACCTAATTTTGCCATCGATGATATGACAAAAATCTCTCTGTTGCACCAGTTCAAGGTTGCATCTGCCCCAGCACCCAGCCTCCATCAGTGGCTGCGTAGGGAATTTTCCCTCTCACTCCGTGTCCTGGCAGCCAGCCCTTCTGGGGATTGCTGAACTAGATGTTGCCACTGGACCAGTGTGTGGGATGGCCACCAATGGACCTAGCCTCCGTGGATTTGCCAGTCCCTTTTTGAACCTGCTTGGCATGCTGATGTCTGGTGCATCTTATGACAGTGACTTCCACAGTTTAATTGTTCCTCATGGGGACAAAGGCTTGTCCTCATTAGTTTGAAAACAGCTGCCTAGTACCTTCACTGGATGCTGGTACTTCTGAAGTTGTAAGAAAGGAAAAAAAAAAAAAGAATGTATGTCCCTTTTCCCTTTTCCCCTTCTCAGTGCTACTTATAAAGACTGCTATGTGATTTAATGGGGAGAAAATGTAATTTAGGGAAGTCTTAATTTTACTAATGACAATCTCTCAAACTAACTATACTATCAGAGAAATATACATTGTGATGTGTCTCCTGTAAAAATAGTCAACAGTATTAATTAAGCATCTCTCTCTCAATGGGATTTTAATTTCTTTTGCTTTTCCCTATCCATGTTTTCCTCCTTTAAATGCTGCTAATG